ATCAGTAAGTACAGGTCAATGAGATTGATTAGGAACAAGTACAAAGTGTATTGAGATTCATAAAAGGATCTTGGAGACCTTTTAGGAAACTTTAATATATTTGTTCCTACTGTTAGTCTGCAGAAGATTGGGAGAAGCCATGACTGTCATGAAGAAGATTCTACAGAAGTGTTCAGCAGGGCAAGCTGGAAAGCAAGTTTAAGTGAAGTTGAATGTCATGACCAATGTTATGACATTGATCGTATGACATCAGGTAGCTGACGTGCACAGCAGGCATGTTGGTTTTCTGGTATAATGCGTGAGATAGCTCAGGCTAGATTTCAGGAGGCTTATTAGAGTTCCTAGATATCTCAGGGGAGATTCTAGGCAGTGCTGACCATATCATGAAAAGCCATGACCTAATCTGACAACACCTTGAATTGTGGAAATTAGTTTTACTTTGTTAAAACTAATGTTTGTTACTTGTGAGCAGCCCAAGCCCAGTCTGCATTGCTACAAAAGGAGGAGCAGAAGCAGAGGAAAGCAAGCACTCACATCAAGAAAAACCAGAGTGTAAAATAAAGGTCTAGGGTTTGAGAGTCCCTTGTGTGTAAGTCACCCTTTGTATCATTTGATACATTGTGGTAGACATATTTGTAAGTGGAGAAGGCTAGTCTTCACATGTGAATTCTGTTTAGAAATACTTATACTCCAAGCAATTGTCTGGTGGATGATTGCATTGGATAGGTAGATTCTAGATTGTGTCTCACTCAAAGCTGTGAAGCAAGAGTGTGTGAGTTCCTTGATCAAAGCTGTGAAGCAAGATCAAGGTGTATATGAAGTGTCTCTTCATATTGAATTCTGTAATTATGAATTGTATATCTCTGTGGTGATTGAGGGGGAGTGAGTGGGTATACTCAGATCTAGAGTGTCTCTAGGTTGAAGTGTCATTGGGTAGGGATTAAGTGAGGAGTATAAACTGGAGGTTTAACTCTGAATTGATTCTACTAATAGTGAATTTCCTCCCTGGCTTGGTAGCCCCCAGATGTAGGTGATGTTGCACTGAACTGGGTAAACAATTACTGGTGTTATTTATCTTTTTGCATTTACAATTCTGCACAATTTAAATGGTTAGATAAATAGGTCTGTCAGCCTGCAAATGTCACAATAGAGGTCATGACTTTGGTCATGACATTGGAACAATTTAAAGAAATTTAAATTGGTCATGGTCTGTCCTCGCCCTTGTTGAGCAGAGATCAATGTTCTTGGGACATCTAAAATCTGCATACCAGAATTTCAATCTGATTACTGTGTTTTTCTAGGTAACAACCTTATTTCTTGGTCTTCCAAAAGGCAGTCAACTCTCTCCCGTTCCAGCGCTGAAGCTGAATATAGGGGGGTCGCCAATGTTGTCTCCGAATCGTGTTGGATTCGAAATCTTCTCCTAGAACTCCATTTTCCTTCCTGAGGCCACTTTAGTGTATTGTGACAATGTTAGTGTCATCTATCTATATGGTAATCCTGAGCAACATCAGCGCACAAAGCATATTGAGATGCACATTCATTTTGTTCGGGAAAAGGTAGCTCATGGTCAGGTTCGAGTCCTTCATGTTCCCTCAAGACATCAGATCGCAGACATCTTCACCAAAGGACTTTCTCGCATTCTCTTTGATGATTTTCGGACCAGTCTATGTGTCCGTGAACCTCCCGCTTAGACTGCGGGGGTTTGATAAAATAGAATATTTTGTGATAATTAGTCATAGTTAGTTTCCTATATTTATGTTGTACCATAATTAGATAGTTGACCAAATATTACACATTGATGTATATATATATTCTATTCAGATCAATGAAAAAGGTACGCATTCCATTATCTTACAAAGAGAGATATGAGGGAGATGAAATAAATGAATAAAATTCATTTATTAGTGATAGTCATTCATTTCTGCATTCTCAAAATCATGTCTGCATTAAGATTATGAGTTTGTATTCTCTATAAGGCTTATGTTCTTTCATAGTTAGCAATATAGACGAAAAATTCTCTCGTTACATATGTTGTTCGTGTGGACAGAGTAGAAGTGTTGTTGTTCATGCATCGCTCGTAATCAATTTATTTTGACATTCAAGAGTTTTTTTTAATACAAGACTATAGGTAATCAATCAATTCATGTCTCATGACCGTTCATAATAATTTCATTTATTTTTCTGATGTGAAACACGAAATTGGTGGTGAGTTAGAAAAGTTTGTCATAGAAGGTCTATGGTATGGTGGTAGAAGTCTTTGATGGATGAAAGTGGGGTACCTACAAGGTTAACATTTTTAACACACAAGTTATTGAAGTTACAAAGATGGAACTTGCAAGTGTAAAATGAATTGTACATTGGTATGGCTTGGAACCACAACTATATATCAACATCATTTAGAATGCCTATGGTAAATACAACACCTTGTACGAAAGGCTGTTGGACTGACTCCAACTACTAAGATGAACGTGGGGTCTAACCTTAATGCAACATCTCTCAACAAAGATATATATGTTCGTCAATATGATAAACTGAGCTTTGGATCAAATTTCATATTTAACTCATATGTTCTTATTGGGCTATTAGACCGGTCCGAAATTTATGAATGTCTATCCAAATAAATTTCAAGTTTAAATTTTTCGACCTAAATACTCTTGTAAAGATGAAGCACCATCATTGTTCTACATCGGTTTGGAGAGGCATAACTAACATTTGGCCCCATATGAAAGCTAATATTTTTTGGATAGTCAATAACAGCCATACCATTGGATTCTGGCAAGAACCTTAGGCGCATGCAGAGCCTTCTTAAATATATATAGTCACATCTTCTATCCAGATCGGTGAAACAAATTTCTTTATTTCTTCTTTTATCATTTACGTCGCCGATTTAATTGAACTTAATTTCCAAATATACATATAAGCAAAACGTTGATGGTTAATAATATTTTTAGGTCGATGAAGAAAAAAAACATCCTCCTTATTATTCCAAGCCAACCAGAACAAACCAATCCAATTCCATTGCTCTCTGACCCCACGACATGACCCTCAGTTAATGCGGCAGATAAAATTTGAATGGTAGGTAGGATCATTTTATTTTAGTTGCTCCCAACTTTAAATGTGATTTATGCAATTTACCTATTAATAAAAACTTCCTTATATATTGTCAAACACGCAATAATGCACCTAGAAACATTGCTCGCACCAAAGCTACCAATATCAACAAAAGAGACATTTCCTCATCTTCATTTACTTTACCTAAAACTATTGCAAAACATTCTTTTAACACAAAACACCAACATATATTTTGTTACAACGTTACTACATGTTATATAGTACTTGAACGTTGCTATGTTTGATTATACATAACATATGATGAAACCAAAGTACATTACATAGTATATACTTAATAGTACTGGAGTTTCGTTGGATCCAATATAGAGGTCAAATTATTTTATTAATATTAATCCAAAAAATTTAGATGTGAGTATTTTTGCTTCTAGGTTTCACTTATCTAATTGATGTTTCTAACTTTATTGTAAATAGTATAAGGAGTGTGTAGACATGTTGATACCAAATGTAGCACCAAATTGAGTAGAGCATAGTGTATAATGGATATGTGTAAGGTAAAATAAAGAAAGGAAAAACCTAGGTAGGATCACATGTAAACATGCCAAAGTTAAGAAGTCGGTTGGAAGATGGCCTAACGAATTAAATAATTGTTAGAAGGTTGGTAGAATGATGCATGTGGTACTCTTATGAAGGAAGGACAATGCTTCGTCATTTCACGTTTTAGATAATGTTATACTATTATCTTGATATGTATTCAGCTTGCTATTATTGAGAGAAAGGAAGATACAGAATTGTAAATAATCATGGAGCATTCTTTTGTGCACATGACTATGCCACATATGTTTTTTTTTTCATTAACAAGAATATATTAGGTTAAGATATCATATTTGAGAGGATATCTTATAAATATGTATATTGGTTAAGATATCATATTTGAGATGATAGAGTATGTGATTTTTCATAAACAAAATGATAATAATCATTAAAAACACAGATAAATAACCGATAATATTAAGGTTCAAATTCTGATGATAACGTTAAATTTAATAATTTTGACCTAAAATGTGCAGACTATGAATATGTGTTTTATAGATTAATTTTATAATGATGAATTAATTTAAATTCAAATTTTAATATAATATTATATTAGGTATAAGGCCATTATTGTAATTGAAGAAATTTTCTCCTCCTCTCACAGCTTATCCACTCATGTAAACATGAATATACCTATCATCTCCCTTTTCTTTTTTTCTTTTTCTCCAAAAAAGGACAAACCCTAAAAGTCTCTAAAAGTCCATAAGAATCTAAAATTAGATTTCAATACGGAAGAAAAAGGAAAACTAATAAAGATCATCACTAGACTCGCTGGTCTATAATATTTTGTAACACATGAATGCACATTATAATAATATTATTCAATAAACAGAATTTGAAGCTTCAAAGAAATAGACACCAAACCCTGTCTAACACCATAACCTAAGGATTATGTATATTAATTAATCTATAATTAATTAACCAATTAAATAATTAAGATAAGATTAGCCATGACATAGAATGTGATCATGCAGTTAAATATAATTAAAAGAGCTGTCATTAGTCATTACTTGTCAACTCATACATCAAATAAAAAACTCAAATTCAAATTCAAATTCAATTTCATAATCATAGAAAAGATGAATCAATAACAATAATATTAACCTATTCCCAGATTCACAAATTGAAACAGAAGAATTATAGAATTTAGATGAAAGTAACAAGGCAAAAAAAAATAGCCAATGATGTTCAGCTATACTGATATACTATATATCTTATGCTTCAACAACTAATTATTTATACAAATTACATAAGAAAATAGAAAATATCTTGTTTTTCAAAATTAATGAAATTTCATTCTCTCTCTGTTTTTCCAACACTATAGCTATTTCTCTTCATTTCATTTCTAAGCCTTTGTAATCCCAAACACCAGCTTTCAAACCCAAGAAATCAAAAGCAGGTGCTTTTCCGTCGCTAGAATTTCCAACAATCTCGTTACAGCTACAATCTTTACTGTTCTGTAAACCCAAACTACAAACAAAACAGAGACTATTGTTGTTGGTGCTGTTGTTTCTGTCTCTGTTTTTGAATTGTTCTTCAGATTCTTGTTGCCGTGGAGGACTTATTGTTAACTCAAGGTTCAAATCCGGACACCGCTCTAACACCGACCCTTTAATCATCATCTCTTGATGACTATGACTATGATTATGATAATGATTATGATATTGTTCTTGTTTAATAGACGGAGCGAAAGATATAATTGATGTGGGTGTGGTAGCGGCTATAACAGTAGTAGAAGTAGTAGTTGATACAGATGCAGCAGCAGCAGCAGCTACAGCTATAGTTACACTTTCTTGATTCTGGTTTTGGTTCTGGTTCTGGTTCTGAAGCTGAAGAATTTGAGAATGAGTTTGAGTTTGAGAATGAGAAACCTCGTTTAAAGGTCTATGAGTAGCAGGGTCAATTCCTCTATTCAAAAGCTTTCTTCTGATATGAGTATTCCAATAATTCTTTATCTCATTATCTGTTCTACCGGGTAATCTTCCGGCAATCAAAGACCATCTATAAAAGAAAACCAATTAATCAGTTAAAAAGGTGTTGTAACTTGTAATCATAGAAGAATGTTTTCATGAAAATGAAGTGCTTTGGAACTTACTTGTTGCCAAGAAGACTATGAAGTTTGATAATAAGTTCATCTTCTTCTTCTGTAAAGTTCCCGCGTTTGAGGTCCGGTCGGAGATAATTAATCCAGCGGAGACGGCAGCTTTTGCCGCAGCGGAGTAAGCCAGCAGCTTTGGGAAGAGATCTCCAGCAGCCTTCACCATGAGCACGAATATAAGAAATCAGTCTATCGTCTTCTTCTTTAGTCCAAGCACCTTTGTTAGTATGAGCTTTTTCACAACAAGGTGATCTTCCCATGGTTTGTTAGAGAAAAACAAGAAAGGCAGTAGTGTAAGAAGGAGTTGAGGTTATGATTTTATAGGGAGTTTGACCTAAGAGAAAAGAATGGGGACAGAGAGAGAAGACAGAAAATAGCTTCTAGATGTGAGTTGGTGAGACAGGTTAAAGAGAGTGGCTGTTGTTGGGTATATAGATATATATAAGATGATATTTATATAGTTTTCTTTGGTTCAATTATATAACAGGTTAAAAAGACATTAACTATGGGTTACCTTCAGGTTGGTGTAAAGTAGAATATATTAAAGTATGGGCAAGCCTAAGACAAGATGTGATCACTTGCCTCTTTTAAGAAAAAAGAGAAACATAATTCATATCTTATATGCTTTATTAATCTTATATATAATACTCTCTAACTTGTCTATTTAACCTTTCACCTCAAAAAAAAAATATTACATATACTAACTTAATTAGATATTTTGATGATTAATCTATACAGTTGCGCGTAAAAAATATATAAATTGTTGATAAGGTTTTAGTAGTTCAAATCTTATAAAAATCCGATATGAAAACCTAATTTGATGAGAGTTAATTAGTTTTGTTAATAAAACAAATTTTGATTATTTAAATGTGTTGATGGTGTTATGTGATGAGTAAGGCACCTTTGTATTTAATTAATTGGGATTAATTGAAAATTATTAGTATTTGTTTTACAGAACATGAGATCTGTGAAATCAAATTAAAGTTGTATTGAGATCTAACTACCTTAATTTCACTGATGAATTTGATTGATTCTTATTATCATCTTAAAAAGATGCAACCTCTAGTCTTTCAATCACTTTATTTATTTTATAAAAAAAAATGTTAATTGTTTTTATTAGTTACACAAAAAATATGGATAATTAACTAATAAAAACATAATAGATTTATTATGTGATAGTCAGAACTAAACTTTAAATTGGATTAATCGGTGCGGTGGATGTTGGTGGTGTAAAAGAAAAACATAAGAGATTTTATTTGATGTGGGTTTAATTTCTTAGTGATTTGAGCAAGTTAGTTGCAAAAGGCAATTCCCTGAAAGAAATGTTTTAGTAGTTGGGTATTGATGTGAGGAAATATAGAGATGGTAATGGTAGTTGTGGTTCTTTATTCTATTGGTGTATTATCATTCATGAGAGAGAGGGTAGATCAAATAGATAGGTTTCTAGAAGTGTTTGAGGATGGTGAAATAAGAGAATGGGAGAATAGGAAATGCCAAAAATGAGTGTGGTTGGAGTTGTGGTTGTACAGGGCCTTTGGTTCACCTTCCACTTTTCATTTTTTTCTTTTTTTCCTTAAACCTTATGATGCAAGTTTAGGAAAAGTATACCAAGAAAAAAGGTTGGGATTGGGGGGCCTTATTTACCTTTTTGTTATAATCTTCTTCTCCATTTTCATATTATAATAGTCAAGTGGAAGGTAAGAATTAATATAATTTGTGTTTTATAGTTAGTTCGAACTATCTAAATTTAATAGAGATTTTGATTTTTTTTTAATAATAAAATACACTACTAAATTTAAAATTTGAATCATCTGATTTTCATCCCATTATTATCAATTCTCTGACTTTGTAAGCGAATGAAAATTATAAATGTTTATTGAAGAGTGTCAACATAATTGAAATGTTATCTATCTCTTATATTAAATGTTATGATAATTTGAAAAAAAAAATATATTAATAGGTACAAGTAGTTTTCAAAGAATAGGAGAGTTGGAAAAGATTCAGTCCACCACCACATGGGTAAAATTTTGAAAGTATATTACCACTTTTCACCCCTTTTCTGCCTATACTTATAATTCAAAGTCCAAATTCCCCTTCAGCTATATGTTGAACATTGACATGAGTGTACCACACCCTGGTAACTAATTTTTTGTGTGTATATAATAATAATATATACTTGATTTTCAAGACAAAATTTATTTGAAGTTTTAACTGCATTGAATTTACAGACCTGTTTTGGTGTTGCTAATATGCAAAAGAAATTTGTTGTATCTGTTTGTGAGTTTAATGAGAATGAACAACTCAACTAAGATGATGAGCATATAATTGCAATATTAAATTGAAATGTTTATTTTATTCGGTGAGGCAACAGCACTACCTAACTCTGTTGGATAGGTACCGAAAAGATGCAATGTGCGTATGATACTAAAGTTGCCAATAATAAATGTATGGATGAAACGCGTAACTACTCACATCAATTAAATTTGTGAGCATCACCCTTGGTCGCTATCGGTTGGGTGTAATTATTGCAAGGAGATCACTCTATAATGTCCTTCTTAGCTAACCCAAAATGGAGTAGCAACCTAAGGCCTCAACTCATCAATTAGTCTTGAATACCAAATGCAACATTAGTCACATGGAGAAAAATTATTAAACAAAGTGGACTTGGCTCTCATGTATAGAATAGAAGGAAGAAAGAAACTGTGGCGTACGGTTTGCATTTGCATGATTATTTTTGTATGGTGACAGACAGCACAGCAACACGAGTTTGTCATGTGCTTAGGTATTCATGGGAGGGTAAAGGGTTGTCCTGACTCCTAACTTCTCAGAGGCTTTACCTACCTCTTGGGTTGTCATCCACATGTGTCTTCCTGAACTTGCTATGCTTTTTCTAATATGTTTTATATTATATATTTGGTGGATAAGAGTTTTTAAAAAAAGGGTTTTATTCAGGATTCAAGAATAACCTTGCTCGTATAAATGAGAATATTTTTTTGTTGTTTAACATTATTGGCAGACACCACCACCACCCTGCAGATTCCATTCTACCTCAATGTCTTCTTACGTTGTGTAATTTACTAGAGCCTTCCCTTTATTCCTTATCTTATCACTTTTCATTTGTTTCCTATTTAAATACAACAAATTGTCCAGCCAAGTGATAATATTTTCATTAAATTACTATTAGATTTCATACATTATATGTGCATCACAGGTAGTGTACAATTATTAAAGATCCAATATTGAAGATTTCCGTGTTAAACATGGATCAGAATTTCTCCCGGCTAGTTCATTATGTTGCCAATTATAAGCACGGCGAAAAGCTAAGGCATATAAATATCATTGATCCTCAGGCGCATAGTAATTCTTCTAGTGTATAATCCATGTTTTCAAATTCTGAAGATTTAAAAAAAGGAGCACATAACTGGGACTACTGAACTAACAACAATTTAACTATGCGCCTTTTCTGATCTTCAAGAGAAAAGGAGCACATAACTGGGACTACTGAAATTTGTATGTACAAAGTAATACTACCGATGCTCTTAAATGGAGTATTCAGTTGAATTTATAGTCTATTCATATACCCAATAGCTGTAGAGCGTAGCAATTTTCTTATTGGTAATAAGAAAACATAGGCTGAAACTGCAAAAATGAACTCAATACTGGTCATCATGGGCCACACAAACGTGACATCCAACAGAGCTGAGCAAATCAAATCTACTTCCCTCTTTTGGAATGTTCATACAAGTAAGTGAGGATGACCACTGCAGCAGCAACTACAGCTCCAACAGCACTTTGTGCCAGTACGGTCGCATCCTTAGGAGCATTCGCCTTTGAACTTGGCACAAAGCCAAGCTCTGAAAGTTTCTTATGTGATTCAGCATAATCTCGAAAAAATGCATCCTCATCCTGCCAGAGGGAGAGTTCAAAGGAAAAAAACATGAAACATCAGACAGATTTCATTTAACTTAATGATGGATCAACAACAGTCAGAATTTTGATGCAAATAACCACTAATGATTTTCTTCAATGGATTTGGAGCAAAACAGAAACTTGATATTAATGTCTTAGTTTAAATTAGATCTTCAACCTCAATAGTATGTAACAGAAGGAAAACAACACCAATGTATGGAAATTGCCCATTGGCCACTCGTTGCTCGAGTAGAAAGTGCTCATATCTATCAAATTATTAGTACAAAAGCTGTTGGTTTTGCCACTCAATTCGCACATGGGGAAAATCTATGAAATGGCAATAATAAACTCCAAAGCACGATGTTTATGGGGAAGGACCTACTAATTAACTTGCTTAATGCAACGAGTTCCAATCAAAAGATTGAACCAATAAACACTGCAACAAGCCTACAAATGAATTTATGAAATGCTATAGAAATATGGTAATTGGCAGGACACGGCATGAAAGCAGTTTTCAGCATGTATGTGTTATTTTAATTAAACAATCCCAATTACCTTCGCATACAGCTCAACATAACGGCGAAATTCAGGATCATCGACTAAAGCCCTGTCCGTTGGAAGTTTAAGCAGCCCTGCAGAATCTTCTTCCAAAAGTATCCTGATATTTAACAACAAATAAAAATGAAGCTCTTGTCAAATTGGGATGCAAAACTGAAAGTCTACAAATGTCCTTGTAGTAAGGCAAAAAAATTAACAATAATGCACGCAACGTAAGTCTTACTCAAAGTATGAGTTATCAAACTTCAGAGGGTCCTCTGTCCAAGCGCCATCAAACCCTGATCTCTCTTGATGTGCTCTTCCCTTGTAACACAGAAAACACAAATAAGAATTTATGGCAGCAATCACAGCATGTAATAAAAAGATATATACAAAAGAAGAATCACCAGTGTATGTGCCCCAGACAGCGCAACAATATCCTTGTCAGTCAAGCCCATACGATAAAAGATATCACGGAGATGCGACTCGCCTAAAAATAGCATTGACATGTTTATATGCTTTCATATAACAATCTTAGTCTTATTTCTTAGCCTTGTTGATGAGAAGGGAATTCAGAGAAAAGAAAATCCTTTCACAGTTAATGGTAAGATATTTACCAAGCCCAAGTCAACAAAATTGTTGTACCCCTGACTAACTTAGAAACTCACCTTTTTTAGCATCGGGAAGCCGCCCATCTCTGGTAGATATTTTTGAATCCTACATGACACGGAAAATTAGAGAATAATAGGTTCAAGGATTTCATAACAACTAATGTTCTAACGAAAGGTACGGCACAGCATACCCTTCTTCCGGGAACAAAGTTGACTGTGGGACCCCCAGTAACCTCAACTGCAACAACACCTGCAAGCTGGAAGCACAAGGGAAAAAAATAACTGTTGTTTCAGATTCATGTAATCTATGTGGCAGCTAGTTTAATTCTCCACAAAGGAATGTATAATCAGTTTTATGCAACGCAGCCCTACACAAGAGATAAATAATGCTCCCCTTCCCTCTTTGTTTCAATATGTACCAGAATTGATCAACTTATATGTGATATACAAGAAACTCCAATCACTGTCTTGATTCTGATAGAAACTTAAACAGTAATTAAGGGAATCTTTGCTTTTCAAAAATTAAATTCCTAACATTTACAAACTTTCAAAAGTACTATACATGGAAATCAAATGGCATTCAAATTCATTGTAGAGATATAGGCACTAAGGCTGGAGCGTGTCAAAAACTAATCTCAAGAAGTACACCTCAACTAGGTGAAAAGCTAAGATGATGAAACTTAAACTTCATTCCATTAGCTGACACAGGAACTTGAAACTTCACTTTTATACATTTCTTAACTATCAAAATTTAGGTGTACTTCTGTAATTACCCCAGAGTTGATATAGCTACCAAGAAATGTAGATCTTTTCCCTCAGGCTTTTGCCCAGGAAAGGCTTCTGGTTAGTATGAAGCTAGTCGTCGGTGTCATTGCAATGAATGAGGCAGAAAGTTGCCAAAAAACAGAACAATGCATTATGGAAGGAAGGAGCTTGTGTGTAACAGGGCACTAATCTAAGGGCATGTTATGTATGTAACTTAAAAGAAATTCATACATCCACCTAATAATGATATTCAATCATGATCAAGCAGCAAAATAGAAGCAAAAACAGGATAAACTAATACCACCTAACAGTGTAGGAAAAACCCTAAGCAAAGCAGCATCCGTAAGTTTTGATTGGCCAGACTCACAATGTATAATATGAATAATTAAGTTGTAAGTGGCACAAAAAGGAACCCCATAATAGACATAAGATAAATAATTTAATCTAATCAATAATGTAAGACACTCCAGACAAAATTGAAAGTCATTGACCCCATTCGACAATTTCCAGCAAACAACTTTAGCACAAAATCATTCGATTCATTGAAGATTTTCATAATAACTGAATGAAAACAAATGATCACCTGATAAAGGTCTGCATATGAGATTTTAGGATGCTTTGCCTTCACTTCCTCTGTGACATCAGAAAACAAATAAACTTTTAGAAAGACAAACAGCCAATGATATCCATACTAATTACAACAAAACACTTAGAGGCAAATAATTGGAAACTGAATTTGATTCTATTATTTTTTTATATCTAATGGAATTGATTATATTCTATTCTATTCTAATAAAAGGCAAAACAATGAAACGATATAAATCAAAATCAACCCTACATGTCATCATCATATTGTTAATTTAATACACAAATAATACCGAGTATACGCATATAGAAAAACATAGAGCATCTCAAGACTCAATTGATACGCATCTACCAATAATAAAGTGTTCGTTAAATGGTAAGTTTAGGGGAAAATTAGTTGGAGTGAATAACAACATACCACAGAAATCAATAGCTTTCTTCAAACCATTGTTAGCGCCGTGAGAATACTCTTCCTCGTTCCGGATAGAACCGTTAGGTCCACCGGTCTTCGAGCTGGCATCGTAAGTGCCCGCGTCGTGCCAACTGAAACAGAAGAAAAAAATTCTCAAACATTAAAAATTGTATGATAAAATTGCAACGCAGAATCGAAGTGTTGACCGTGTGATTAACGAAGGATATAACAATTCGAAAGAAATAAAACGATGAAATATAAGGATGAACAGAAATTGGTTTTTTGGAGAAGTTACGCTAAGCGAAGCATGATAGGAGCGCAGTTTCTGTTGGCGATGAGTGCTCGGAGATCGCGGCGAGCCTTTTCGATCTGCTTGAGGTATTCTGCGTCTACCACCACCGGTAACGCCATTTTCAGGGGTATAACGGATTCTGATTGGCGGAGAAAACTAAACAGTAGTTGTTGCAGCACTGCGATTGTGTATACGGAATTGGAAATGGATAACTGAAAGTGAATGTGTGGGTGGTTGGTATTTCCAAGTTCTGTGTCTTCGCACTCCTCTTGAGTCTTGACACGTGGTGTTGTTTTATGGGTTCACATACTCAACAACATATCCATCTTGAAATTGTCTATAGAGGAAAACTAGACAAATTGATTAAGTAAATAAATATATTTGATTAAATAGATAGGTAATAGAAGATATTGTTTTCATAGAATGTTTATGTATTTAATATATTGAATAAAATGATTATGATAAACGATGGTGAAGCAGCAAAGTTGTATTTATCAGTTGGATTTGTATTTTTGATGTGGTAGAAAGGAGATTGATTTGTAAGGTTAACACTTTAATGTATAAGTTAGTAAAAGAAATCAGAAATAATATGTGAGTGGAAACGGATTGAATAGTATATTTGGTTGAAACAGCTCGCATAAGGTGCGATAAGTTGTGAGGACATACGTCAGATTAGACCGAACAATGATTGATGTGTTAGAGGACGGAACGGTTTGCTTCTAGTTAGAACGAAAGGTCAACCTACTTTTCATGCATGTCAGCTCGTGGTTTGCTTTTTGGCCTTTCTTTATAGGTCTTGTGAATGACGCATAACATTTATCATCCAAGTCTTTGTCATACTATATAGAATGAAGATTTTGTACTGTACATATTTAGGTCGGTTGTTTAACAGAAGTAAATGAAGGGTCTTAAAGTGGCGTGATTAGCATTAAAAACATGTGCAGTAAACGTCTTTAGGATACTCGATTAACGATGTTTTTAGTGAGAAGGCCCTGACACGTGTGCCTTTGTTTGTTGGTAATGTTGTTCCACCTGTCTTAGGATACTCAATTGCTTTAAACAGTCTTTGGTGAGATCTTGATTTTTGGTAGTACGGTTCACACTTTTCAATGTAGTAGATGACACAATTCAGTGTTGTGGAAATGCATATAAAAAGTTATTTTTCGCTACTTGTGGATTTGAGAAACTCTTATTCTTCTTCGTTTTTTATTTCTACCGTTGTTGCCAAATTCTCGCACTGACCTTCATCCTCGACCAATTTGTGCCCCCTCTTTCAGTGCGTGAGCTCCAAAATTTTCTTCTTTTAATGTAATGCCTAGATCTCCTTTCTTTCAATATTGCTTTCTTTATTAGGGTTTACGAAGAAGACAGTGATGGGGTTTAATTTAGGAGATTGTTGTGATTTAATGGCTTATTTCATGTACATTTATTTTAATGTAGTGCTTAGATTCCCCTTTATTTATTATGCCTAGACTCCCCATTTATTACGGTATACAATTAATGTAACCTTACAAATATGCAACATCAAATATGAATGAACGAATGTTTGTAAAGTATAAGGATAGGGAAAGCGAAAGATACACAGAGATGTATAGTGCTTCGACATTCGTCCTCGTTTTGCCTACATGCACGCTTCAATGGATGATGTCATCGGAACATAATCACGATCTTCCACTATGATGATAAAATATTTACAATATTTTGATTACAAAGAACTATCACATGATAATTTCCTCTGATGAGCAGACATTAAACTGCTACCACAATACAAAATTCCTTAAGATCTTGATCCAATAGCCTCGCTTTTCACAATAAATTGTTCCAAGTGTTTGTGTGTGGCGATCCCACGATTTCTTGTCCGAGCGATTGGCATTAACTGATCGTATATTGGACAACTCCCAACTTTGTCTGTAAGCAATCTTTCTCTAACGCCGCTAAAAAAAGACAACTTCCAACTCCGCCTTACAAACTGTTGATACTTGATTCTACCAAAGTCTTCCTTAGAGTACAATGAAAACTCTCATCTTGTTAATAACAACTCAGTGCCAAATTGCATTCAAGAAACGATATTTGCACTTGTTGCAATAAAAAACTAATTACACACAAAAACACTAGACACCTTAATGTATCACTAGTCTCCCTTACACTCAATATTTAGAGGAGGGTCCATAAACAAGAAAAAAAATTAAGGATGAAGATGGTGAACAGTGCCAAAAAATCTCGACAGCAACTGACATTACAAGCGATTAGCCAAGTAATTCAGTTTTCATGAATGAAGAACACACACAAGGTTCAATCAAGTTTCTAGATGATTGGGTATTGGTTCTTGATTGTTATCAAAAGCTCGATCAATTTTCAATAAGATTGATCAACTCATTCTCAAATTCACACAAGAACAAAAATCAAATTGCACAAAACAAGATGCAACAAAAAAATAATAATTGGCATGGGTTCAATATCAAAAGGTTGGTGTTTGGGGAAGAAGATAGAAGAATGGTGTAAATATGAATACACTAAGAAGAGAAGACAAAAAATCACAATTTTTGTCTCTATGGATCACCATAAGTTTTTCACAATTGTTACTTTCACCATAAGAAACAATCATTTAAATAAGTGGTGGAAAATTGGATTTTTTAAGGCTTGATTCGAATCAAGAAAGATTTGTGATTCAAATCAATCTGGACAATGTCAAAAATAGTGTTTCTTAAAGCTAATTATTTGAATCATTATTTGCACTTAATTTGAATTAAATGAGGTTATGGTTCGAATCTTGTTTAATTTTTAATCTGAATTGTTTGATCCAGAATGATATTTCAATTTTCAATAGGTGATTGATTCGAATCAAAATATAACACATGATTCGAATCAAATACCAAATCATCAAAAATTCAAATGTACTAACTTGTGATTCAAGCTACTTGTGTGGAAATGACAAAACAGTAACTTTCATATACTCAAAAAGGAAATAACTAACAATGATCATGAAATATAAAGGATTCTCAATGGTACACTTAAGTAGTCGAAGCGATTACAAATTTAGGGCTGGAAATGAGTCGAGTCGATTCGAACTCATCTCAGCTCGGCTCGACTCGTTAAGAATTGTTCGAATTCGAGTTCGAGTTCGAGTTTGACACGAACTTTTTTTTAAGCTCAAACTCGACTCGTTATAAGTTCACGAACAGTTCGGTTCGACTCGTTAGGTTCATCTCATTAGGTTCAGCTAGGGCTGGAAATGAGTCGAGTCGAGTCGAACTCACCTCAGCTCGGCTCGACTCGTTAAGAATTGTTCGAATTCGAGTTCGAGTTCGAGTTCGACACGAACTTTTTTTTAAGCTCAAACTCGACTCGTTATAAGTTCACGAACAGTTCGATTCGACTCGTTAGGTTCATCTCATTAGGTTCAGCTCACATGGTTCACGAACTTAAAAACTATTTTTTAAAATATATATATTTTTTAGTATATTTGACATTTTAAATAAATATATATTTTTTAAATAAAATATTAAAATAAAATAAAAGTTATCATATTGATATTTAACTTTATCTTCGAAATCTACTAATTCAAAACCTACACAACTTTCAAGAGATACATTTGAGAGTCTAACTCAAAAACTACTAAATTGAAGATTAAATTTGTCTAAGATTTGAAGTAAATATTTAAACCTAATCTTAAAGACAGTATAATTCTTTTCATATGTAATCGAGTTGACTCATGAACCTAACGAGTCGAACTATGTATAGTTCAAGTTCAGCTCATTTAGTTAACGAACTTAATTTTTCGCTCATACTCAACTCATTTGGTTCATGAACCTAGTTCAACGATTTAATTGTCGAGTCGAATTCCGAACTATCTTCGAGTTGGTTTGGTTCATTGCCAGCCCTAAGTTCAGCTCACATGGTTCACGAACTTAAAAACTATTTTTTTAAATATATATATTTTTTAGTATATTTGACATTTTAAATAAATATATATATATATATTTTAAATAAAATATTAAAATAAAATAAAAGTTATCATATTGAAATTTAACTTTATCTTCGAAATCTACTAATTCAAAACCTACACAACTTTCAAGAGATACATTTGAGAGTCTAATTCAAAAACTACTAAATTGAAGATTAAATTTGTCTAAGATTTGAAGTAAATATTTAAACCTAATCTTAAAGACAATATAATTATTTTCATATGTAATCGAGTTGACTCATGAACCTAACGAGTCGAACTATGTATAGTTCAAGTTCAGCTCATTTAGTTAACGAACTTAATTTTTCGCTCATACTCAACTCATTTGGTTCATGAACCTAGTTCAACGATTTAATTGTCGAGTCGAATTCCGAACTATCTTCGAGTTGGTTTGGTTCATTGCCAGCCCTAATTACAATCAAATGAAAAGAATATTACAATCACACAAATGAATTAAAATAACCGACAAATTACAAATACGCAATAAAACCATAATCGAATTGTAAAACATCAAAGCACACTTGATACTTAAAGCATGTAAACGGTACCAAGTGATATTATGTGTTTTCATTTACTAGCAATATTTAGTTCATGTCCTACAAAGAAACATTGGAAAGGAATAAAATAGATATTTCAATATCTCCAAGGTACGTCTGATTTTGGTTTGTTTTATTCCAACGATACAAAATCAATTTTGCTTGGTTATGTAGATGCTGGATATTTTTCAGATTCACATAAAGCTAAATCACAGATTAGATGTGTTTACATATGGTAATACTACAATATCATGGAGGTCTCAAAAGCAAACACTTATTGCAATTTCTTCAAATCATGTTGAAGTAATTGCCCTTCATGAAGCAAGCAAAGAGTGTATATGGTTAAGATCGGTGACTCGATATATTCAATGAGCGTCTGGTTACCAACTGATAAAAATCCAACAACTTTGTATCAAGAGGATATTGCATGTGTTATCTAGATAGAAGAATGTTACATCAAAAGTGATACACACAATCATATCCCTCCAAAGTTCTTTCCATTCACATGAGAATTCAAAAGAAACAAAAAGGTTGATATTCAATATATTTGTTCGAGTGATAATGTAGCAGATCTATTCACAAAGGCACTCTCTACAACAATTTTCAAGAAACATGCACAAAGCATTAAAATGCGTCACCTTCAAAATCTTTGAGAAAAAAACTGTGTTTGATTGAGAGGAAACATAATATTGTACTCTTTTTTTCCTTATTTCTCTACAACAATTTTCAAGAAACATGCACAAAGCATTAAAATGCGTCACCTTCAAAATCTTTGAAAAAAAACTGTGTTTGATTGAGAGGAAACATAATATTGTACTCTTTTTTTCCTTATTTCTTTATTAAGGTTTTTACCCAATAAATTTGTTCTAATAAGATTTTTAGTGAGATAACATATGTTCTACAAGATTCTCTTCGACAAGACTTTAATGGAATCCCCCAACAAACATTTCAAAAGAAAAGTGTTGTAAAAATTAAAAAATACTAGTTATTCTAAACACGTGTCTTACTATTATTTTGAAATATCTATTTAAAATAAACATAAAATAGCAAGTTATTCATCATAATGTCAAATTAGAATATATCAGCATAAAATAGTAATGTATTCATCATAATGTCAAATTAGAATGATAATGTTCTATTTATAATATCAACTTAAAATAGTAATATAAATTATTTCATTTTTTATGTAATAACTATAATTCTAGTAGTATGATATATCCTGAGTACTAATTTATATCATCGTATAAAGACATTGAATTTGTGACCCATAGAAGACTTGTTCGTTGTTGGCATTTTTGAAATGTTTATCCTCGTCGTGGTTGACACATGCCAAAGATAATGTAAGCTATTTTTGAGTTGTGAGAGGTGCATAAGAATGTATAATAGAGAAATACGAAAAAGAAAGTTTTAAAAAACATATATATTAAGTAGAGCAGAGTATTTTCAGTCAAAAAAAATAGTAGAACAGATTATTTATCCACAGGACCAAAACCCTTATACTTATAAGTCGTCTTTGATCATGTCATATAGATGGTTAATATCCAAATCACCTTATGTGTGTACTTTTGTTATTTCAAACAAACCTTTTTTTTATCACAGGCATGTACATGATTGACAAATAAAATCAGTCAAACTCACAAGAATACAAGAAAGGCTCTCATCTAACTGTTCTCTAAAGAATACAAGAAAGGATTCCTTACACTGCATGGAAGACTAAACTTTAACATATGGTTTTGGGGGTGGGATGGAATTAGAAGTACATATCTATGGAGAATTTCGTCGAATCGTGCTTATGAAGTTCTCCACTGCAACTCTACCTGGATGCGACCATTCTTGGAATCTATAAGATGGTATTTCTCATTGATTCTCTTGTTAGAAACAACGTCCCCAAGGTTGATATTGACATAACCCAGTGTTTCCTAATGAGGAAAGGTGCAGCAGAGAACAATGAAACTTAATCATATATCAACTAGCATGAAAAGGGAAAGAAAAAAAAACAATGGAAAAATTGAAGTGGGATTACTTTAAACATGTATAATTAAAGCAAGGTTAAACTAGACTCCTCATTTATGAGTACGGGTACCCATCCCGCTCCAAAACCGCACAATATATTTTTCAATATTTTAATTTATATTGTATGCCTATCAATTTTTAAAAAATAAATCACTGTTAAATTATCAAGTATTTTAATATAAGTGTTCATTTATATCATAACTCAACAATAAAATCTTTGAAAGTTTTCTTAATGTTGTTAAAAACTTAAAATGATACGATAATTAATAATTGTTTGATTATTTTTTATTAAAAATATGGATAATGGATAGTTGGATATGGGTATGGGTACTTTAAGGTATACATAGAATATGGGTATGGGTATATGTACAAACACTTGGGCCCACGCAGGTATGGACTTGGATAGGGTATTTTTTTCAAAATGTGGGTACGGGGACGAGTACTATAGTACAATGCCCATTGCTATCCCTAAGTGTGAGTCTTAATAGAGACTAAGACGTAGTTTTAAATTGGATTATAATTTATACTGTAATGCAAAAGTGGTTAAATTGTTCATGACATTTGTTTTTGGTTGAAAGAACTTGTGAATCATTTAGTCTACATTTTTATATTTGGATTTTGAATCATTAAATGTTTGTGCGTGTTTCGCTCCTACTTTGACTATTTTCAACAATTTGAGGTTCCCTAAGCTAACTTTCACTTTTGCAGTTTACACCAAGTCTGGATAGATTTTACTTTCTAAAAGGCATAATCATATTACTAATTAATAGTAAATTATATAATACAGAGCGGTAGAGTTAAGAATTATACTTTCTGATGGAGCAGGTTTCGTGATGAAGTGCTGACAACCTCTACATGTAGTTTGTCATTGGTGGGAGGCTCCTCTACTGGAAACTGGAACTCATCTTCCCATCTTGGATCCCTGTTCTTTTTTATGCGCTGTAATATTAACCAATGCATCATTAGCATTCCACACGAAGAGCAGATTTCAATATGAATATAATGCACATTTACCACCACTACTCTATCCATATTTGTCTTTGACACTTCCAATATCTTGTTCTTGTATATTTTTTGAAGTATTAATACAAAAGCAATAACCACCACTAAAGCTTCTTCCCACAAGGTCAGCTTAGGCACATGAATCAAAACTACATTATAATATCATAAATCATGTCTTAACAAACCATCTAAATCTAAATCCTTCTTAACAACTTGGCCTATAGTTTTCTAAGTCAAACTCTTAATCGCCTACTGCCAATCCAATATGTTGTCATTATCAGGGCCTCTACGGACATTCTCCACAGATGCTGAGTCATCTAACCCGAGATACTACTATATTTTCCAAAATAATTCTACCTTACTCTAACTAATGCATCGTGCATAATCTTTTTTTGTCTTGTGCATTCACTGATTCGTAATATACTCATTTCTACAAACAAACACTGACCCTATTTCTAGTTTCAAACATTTGATTCTATACAAAGTCATATAGTGGTGAAAAAAATCCCTAATGCTTGAAAAAAAAAATCGATCACAAATACAATACTCCCCCCATTTCATCCAACTCCCTTGATTAAAAGCTTTCAGGGATAGTGCTACATAAAAGATTTATCAAGTTAGAGCTTATACACATAAGCGCCCTCTCCTAAGTAGCATATATTAGTGACAGCCTACAGGGGACTAGTTGAGTTGATAGAATTTCAGAAACTAATGAGGCAGGTTCTAAAATCTCGGCTTGTAAAGAGGTTTTCCCCAATACTTTAGGGGAAAAGGTTCGGGAGTCTTCTATTTTATTTATTATAATTTTATAAAAGAAAAGAAAGAAAGTTAGAACGCAAGTATTCCTTAAGATCTTGTACCTTAGTCTTTTTTTCTTCCCCTCTGAAAATAATACGTACATGTGGATTAGTGTGGTACTTCCCTTCAACATCTTGAGCTTCATGAATTATAACTACAAGAAGACCTCCACCAGCTGGAGTGCCTTCAGGAGCTTTAGGAATTGTCTGTGTCTCATCAAAGCCCTTGCCCATCTCCTCTTCGTTGAAGGGTTTATAAGTCAATTCCACAACAATCTGTCCTCGTGATTTCTCATTTTGAGGGTCATTGGGATCCAATGTTTTTAAAAGGTCCAGAGTAAAACGTTTGGTCTCTTCAGGAGAAACTTCTTTTAAAGTGATCACATTCATACCCATCTTATCATGCTTCCCAACCTAAGCAGAGAGATAAAACAACATTCAGTCCAGATATCACAAGAAATTATAAGATAAGACTTTCAGCTCAAGAGGTTTACCTGTTCCCAGTCATAAACATTGAGCTCTAAAACCTGGGACTCTGGATCTTTGACTACCAAATTAAATTCTTCATTCCATTCAGGATTTAAGTTCTTGTGCTTTACAGTAGTCTTTTTTGATGGCATCTTATCGTCAGTAAACTTTAGTTTCACGTAAGGATCAGATGCACCAAGAAGATCTTTCTTCTTTAACTTCATGGCATGCAGAACCTTTACATGTAAAATTCCAACAGGCCTCCTCAAAGCTCTAAGATTCCCAATAACATTCACAAGAAAGAGAAAAGGCATAAATGAGTTAAGAGGTGAACATACCATTACATCACGAATATTAATTTAGAAAAGTGAAGAAACATACTTTGCCGGATCTAGTATTTGAACTTCCAGGTTTTTGGGCCACAGATACATGTTTGCAACCTGATCTTTGATAAGCTCCTGGAAACACACTTTAAATTAGTTTAATAGTCATAAATCCTGAATAAAAACCAATGCTAGCTACAGAAATCTACAAAGACATGGATATATGTTAAGAAGGGCAATATTATCTTTCTCTATTATTACCTATAGCGGCATATGTACACTTCAGAAGGAAGAAAAGATTATATATGCTACATAAAATTACTGTCAACTTTCTGTTTTTGCTTTATTCTGTAATAATAAAACCCACTATCCTACAATTCATCATATGCATCCAATATCAAATGTTACATGCTACAATTATACTGGAGGATAAAACGTCTGCTAAAACTAAAAGAATGGCTTCTGGCAAAAAGGGCAACAACATCCAACTGACACCATTATACCTTCGATGAACTATTAAGTAACATCTGACAAGCCTACAAACCATTCAATCTCATAACTCAACAGTTCTCATTTCTTCATGTTTGCACTAATATCATACATGTCAATTCATTTAAAAACACATTGGTTCTATTCCTTTGGCAATCAATTTCTATCTGCCACACAAATAATGACTCAAGTTTGACGCAAGAAATTATCCCATTATAATTCCCCCATCCTTCTTCAAACATTCTATTTTATTCAGAAACATTGCATACAAAAATCAATGGACTGCTGATAATATCACATTTCAAAATAAGATCAACTTGAGCAGACAATGGTTCATTTCGAGGACGGGGGAGTGTCTATTAAGCAGGATTCCACATGAGGAGTGGAAGATGAACGTAAGAAATTCTAGGCCTCAAACATTAGGATAGGAGGGGGATCAAACAAACAGATCAAAAGTTACAGGGTATATACCTGAACAATCCCGTAGACACCAGGAATAGACATAAGATCAGCCCCCATGAGTTTTAGGCCAAAGTCAACATGTGGCTGCACGTAAACGTACAACAAAGATCAAGACAGAGAGTAAATATTAGTTGTATAGCCCGTATTACAAGTAAAATAATTACAAGTGTCAAGGTTTCTTTCAACATTCAAAATAAAATCAAGTAGCAAGTTATAAAGGGGAAAGGATACAAGTTCAGCTGCTCCAGTGTCATTAAAGTTATCATAAAATGAATATAATAACTTCAGACATCATCATCATGATTCATAAGTATCAACTAAAGTATGCCTACAATCATGAATCATTTACATCATTCAACAAAAGCAAACTATCCCCAAAACAAAATAAATAAATAAAACAAAAATATCTGTAAGGTTGTTAAACTATAAATAAGGAAAAAAATCAAAAGCTATTTACATGTGATCATGTTGTTGACAACAGATCAAAGACTGGTCATTGATCATCACTACAATATTCCTTCAGTCTCCCAAAAGATTATGGAAATCAACTTTTAAATTTTTTAAAGTCAACAATCACCAACCTTTTCCATGAGAGAAACAAAGATGTTGGCAAAGCAAGGAAAGCTGGGAACCAAAGGCTTCAAAGTAATGCGAGGCAAAAGAAAAACTTGCAAATCAACAACCTGACAAATGACAAATAATTTAGCATGATAAAAAGGAACAAAGTTATCCATTCTCTACTAACACAACAAATTTTACTTGAACGGTTGCTTTCAACCCAAATGCCTTTACAGCAATGGTGACATTAGGATTTCCAGCCCATTTTATAGAAGGCTCCATAATCAACTCCTTCTCGTCAGTCACGTAAACTTTCATTCCTATTAATATGACAGAAAGTATTAAGAATATACAACAATAACACAAATAAGTCCTCAAGACATAAACGAATTTAGTGTAAAAAACAGCAAAGCAGAAATAAGAGCAATACAACCCTTTGTAAGCAGATATGCAGACATAAAATAATAACAATCTTTATGACTTTTAACAATTGTGTCACACATAACAAGACCCAAAAAGGGTCTTCTAAGGAAATGCTTCCAATGACGCATCAAGTTTCTTCAAATTCATAACAGGAATGGTCATCATATTAGGCCGGCCACACCAACCAAAGTACAACAAAACGATAAATCTTCATTTCAAACTCAGTACTTTAGAGGAGGACTTACAAACAGTGACATCCAATCCTTTACACACAACAAAACACTCAGTAAATTTAGCAAACACAATGATAAAAAACAGCGAAAATATATTAATTATCAGTAAAGACAGTAAAAAAGGTTCATACCCAAGAATGCATGTATATTTACAAACCTTGAAAAGTTGGGGGCAGGGACCCCAGAGTGAGTGTTTGAAACTCAACAGAATCAATTTTATATTTTGGAATCTGCTCTTCAATAATGGGTTTCGCAATGTTCTTAGCAGTCTTACAAATTGCCTAAATAAGAAAATAAACAAAAGAACCAAAAAACAGAACAGCAAAAAATGTCAAATGTTAAATGTAAATTGAAAACAGTTGTTAAAGCATATAAAAACAACATACCTTTTCAAGATAAGGCCACATAAGTTCTATAAACTTATTAAGCCAATCAACCTAGAGAAAAAAAAAACAATACTTCATCAGCTAAATCCTAAATTCCAAAACCCTAAACCTAAAGAAAGTAATGTATCATATAATAGCTGAACAGTGCTAGCTAATTTACCCTATCAAAATCAGGATTCTTAATCCAATTAGGAATCTCAGGAAGCATTCGTTGCAAACTCTCAGCATCTTGATCCACCAGTGGCTTAATTTCAGGATCCTGTTCAATCCAACACCAAGTTAAAAATCTCAAACACGAATTTCAACTTTTAACACAAAAAGAATCACGATGAATGCTAATGCTACAACAACACAGACCTCAACATCAGTAGGTTGAAAGTAAATGAAGAGAATGTAACCAACAGTGAGACCAATTGAAATTCCAAAACCGAAACCGAAAACCCCAAAAATGGTACTGAAGAAACCCATTTCAGATACAGTTTTGAATCGATCTAGCGAATTTCAGATCGGGATTTGTTTTCAGTTCAGCATTAGTACTGTATGATACTGAAACGGAAAGTGTGAAGAACGGAAAACGATTAGGTGTTGTTATCCTTAAATCTAGGGATGGTGTGGGGTAGATGAAGAATGAAACGGATGGAATTCAAAGGGAAGGAATTCAACAGAAACTGATTGACGAAGAAAGCAAGGCATCAATTCAATATAATAAATTCATCGTTATTTTCAATTTTCATATTTAATTTATTTTGGAAAATTAATGTCCAAATCATTGTTTAACTTTAACTGATCTATAGTACTTAGAAAATTTGCATCAAAATATAAGTTAAACTATTTTCAAAATAATAGAGTATTAACATTATTAGTATTTAAGGATATTGTTTAAAGGATAAGAAAAACAACTTTTGTATAGACTTATATATAATAATTAGTACTACTACTTTACAACAATTTAACTTATTTAAACAATGTGGTTGGGACTTTCTATAATAGATACCAACAAATATTATATTTAAAAACTAATTTCTATTTTAAAGATAAACTTTATTTCTTAATATTTTATAACAAATATGCTTAGAACACTTGGTAATATATTTTTTTATACGTAAAAATATATGTAGACGTGGCGAGTGTGAGAAGCTGTCGGCATGGATATATGTCAAATCATATGGATATGTTTGTGCTTCTTTCAAAACAAGATAAAAACACAAATAATTGTTACTCGAAGACATTTTCTTTGACATTTTCTTTTAGGTCAATGCCAAATTCGTGTGTATTCTTTTTACATTAGTGCTTTAGTGAATACTCTTTCCGTTTTAAAATTATTCTTGTTTAAAATTTTTAATGATTAATAAATATAATGATATTATCATAAAATATTATATTTTTATTAAATTAATCTTATTAATGTGTTAAAAATAGTGTAAAGGTTAATAATTATATGACATAATTTGAAAAATAACAATTATTACTATATTAAAAAGTGAGAATGACATTCATTTTGAAACAAAAATTTTCTCCTAAAACAATAGTTATTTTGAAACGGATGGAGTAATATATAGTATAAGGTTGGATTAAATGACAGTAGTGTCCAACGTAATGATATGACATCTCTGATATTTTTTTATCGCTTATTCGTATAATAAAATTTACCGTTGAATTGAAAATTAATGTCATATAAATCATATCTATAAAATTTAATATCAATTGAAAATCATTTAACATATCAATAAGATGCATAAAAACGAACCTCTTACAATAGTAATGTCAATTATTATGTTAGTGTAATAGTTGTATTTTTAGTAGTATAAATATTTTATAGCTTAATATAAAATTACATCAATTTCTTGAAAGGCATGAGTAATACATTCTACTTTCTTCGATCTTTTCTATTAGTTTGATGTTATAAAACTAAATTAGTAATTTATTTCATCATATTTGTTCACAAATATTAAAAGAAAATATTCAAAATATGTTTTGTAATTCACAGTTTGTAGTTGCAAGTAAAATAACAGAATTTCCATAGATTGTGAGCAGAGAGTTCTCTGCAGAAAAATTATTCATCTTCTTCTTCTCCAACGTTTACTTTCTTTCTTTCTAAACTTTTCTTTCATTGTCATTACGTGAGTTGAGATCAAGATTGATTAAGTAAAATTCTTCATAGGTTGTGGTTGAATTTCTAATATCTAGTATCTAGAGTTTCGATTACGATTCAAGGAAGGAAAATCGTGATGGCGATGAATCATCCAAACGGCCACTTTCCGGCAAACCTTCCAATTCTCAAGAAAGATAATTATGGGAATTGGTGCAAGTATATTAAGGTAGTTTTTTGTTATCAAAATCTTTGGAATCTTGTGAAGGGAGGAGTAACACCGCTTGCAGAAAACGCAGCGGATCAAGAAAAGGCGACATTCAAAGAATTGAAGAAGAAAGATTATAAAGCTCTCTTTATAATCCATCAATGTGTAGATCCAGATAATTTTGAAAAGGTTAGTGATGTAAAATCAGCGAAGGAAGCGTGGGAGATTCTTGAAAATTCGTTTGGAGACGCAAAAAAGGTGAAAGATGTGAGGTTACAAACTCACAAGAGAACCTATGAATTGCTTCAAATGGAAGAAAGTGAAAGTATAGCAGATTTATTCACTAGAGTTACAAAGTTGGTGAATTAAATCAAGGTATATGGAGAAGTGTTGACATTTAGATCAGTTGTTGCAAAGATCTTGAGTTCGTTGGCTTCAAAGTTCGACCATGTGGTAGTAGCCATGAAAGAGTCGAAAGACTTGTCAACATTGATGCAGGAAGAGCTTCAAGGGACACTTGAGTCTCGTGAACAAAGGATGGCTGAGAGAGTTGCAGGAAAGCCAAAGAGTGATATGACTTTGCAAGCGCAGTCAAAAGAGGAAAGGAAAGGCAAAGGAAGTTGGAATGGCAACAAAGGTAGATGAGGCTACAACAATTCGACTGGTCGAAAGCAGCAGCAAGGAAATTGGTTGAATCAGACAAAACTCTGGAACCAAGACAACCAAAGAGGTGGTGTTGCAGGTAGAGGAATGAGTGGTGGACGAAAGCCTGACAAAAGTCACATTCCCTGTTTCAATTGTCAAAAGTATGATCACTATTTTAGTGAATGTTGAGAAAAGAAGAAGAATCAAGAAACTAATGCAAAGATGGCGAAGCATGAAGAAGAAGAGATGTTGCTAATGGTCACAACAAAAGATGAATAGAGATTCCAGGACCAGTGGTACTTGAACTCAGGATGCTCATCACACATGACTAGAAGGAAAGATTGGTTTGTCAACATGAAGTCCTTATCAAAGAACATGGTGAAATTTGCAAATGACAATACTCTAGCAGCTGAAGGTATTGGTGATGTTTTGAGTATGATGAAAGATGGCAAGAGGTCAATAATTTCCAATGTGTTGTACATACCAGGCATAAAGAGTAGTTTGTTCAGTATAGGGCGGCTAGTCGAAAAGAACTATAAGGTGTCGATCAAAGACAAGATGATGAGTCTAACACCCCATTTAAATTATTTAGTCATTTCATACTTTGTTGTGCGGGTATTGGTTGTGATGTCCATAGTTAAGGGTATGAGGTTAGGAGCAGGAGTGAGAGCTGACCTTAGTTGGGGTAATGTGGACCTAGAATAAGGGATAATTCAATAACAAGATTAGGAGCATTATGATTATTAATATTATTATTTCAATTATTATTAATATTATTATTTCAATTATTATTAATATTATTATTTCAATTATTATTAATAATAATATTAATAGGATTATGGTTATTATTATTATTAGTAATAAAATTAAATAAATTAAAAATCTGATTAATAGGGTTTAGAGAGTATCAGTGGGATTAAACGGTTAACATTCGTAAAAGAGGAAGAGACAGAGAAAGGAGAGCTAGGGCAAAAAGAATCAATTTTCTCCATTGTTGTCAAGAAAGAGATCAAATCCAAGGTAAGGGGGAGAATAGATTTCAATATGGGTGAATTAACATGAGAGCGTAGTGAGAGGTCCTTTCTCTCGTAGGAATCGATGTTTGTTCTTGCGTATTAGCCTGATTTCTGTAATATTATGATTTTCTTCGTGATTGTTGTCATTGCTGAATATTTCTTATCTGAGGTTAGATGAATGGATCTAGAACTGATACGAAAATCGTGTGGAAATCCATTAATGCTGTAATGTAATTCTGAAAGTTAATAAATCTGAGAATTAAAGGTTTAACAGTAATCGAAATTAGATCTAATAAGTGGAATCTTGAAAGAATAGAAGATAGGATTAATGGAATCGATCAAAACCCGAGTATTAGGATGAATGGGAAGGTAGAATGATGGATCTTTAGTGGAAACTCGTGGAAATGCTGAGATTTGAGTTTTTTGACAGATCTACTGGCCATACGTGTATTGGAGGTATCAATGCGCGTATGGGGGACTTCCCAAGGGGTTGTACGCGTAGCAGACGTGCCCTGTCCCCAGTGCCAACACGACCATCTGGTGATACGCGTATGGGCTTAGGCAATACACGTATGGAGGGTAGTCATACGCGTAAGAGTTTGCAGGAGGGAAATTGGAGAGGTGTCAGCCTCTGCCAATACGCGTATGCAAGCAGGGCAATATGTAACACCCCCTTTCTATACCCCCAAATAAACAATTAAATCATTTAGGCACTTAATAAAAAAATTCATCAGAGTATAAATTAACACATGGTATAAAAGAGGCACGTCACATTATCCTTGAAATTCAAAATGTAACACCCCCTTATATACCCCCCAAATAAACAAATAATCACACAAATCAGAGTAAATTAAAATATGGTATAAAAGAAGTATGCCACATCATTCGCCAAAATAACATACAACACCTGCTCTATAAAAGACATGCAACAGTGGGGTAGTTCAACAGAGGAACTTAGTCCTACACCCACATCTCAATATTTAGAAATTAAAGCGGAAGATTAAAACATTTGAATCATTTAAAACATGTTATCATATAAATACATAATTCAGTTTGGTTCACAATATCATTCATGTTTACAAAACATTACCATTAGATACATACACAAAATGTATCCCAAAATAATACTATACAAGCCTAACTATCCGGTGCTACATATCAGAGCATAACCGACCAAAAGGATGAAGCTAAACTTCACAAAAGACCTCCAGCAACCTAATCTGCAATGCCTCACAGAGCATTATACAACAGCAGAAGGGTGAGAAATATTATCATAATAGTCACAGCATATAATTATATATACATACACAAGCCCAGAACATATACATTTCACATTTCTCACCACAATTCATTTCAATCATCATATATATCACAATATATGTGTAAATAGACATGGATAATCATCAAGCACATTTCATCATGCATACATCCATAATTCTCAATTCAATACTTCACATAAAGGTAAACTTTCATACAACAATACACATTAATCATGTGACTCAATGAAACT